GAGCCTAATACGGTGTTTGCTAAGATTAGAGGAGAGATTCATCCTCTTCGCCCAAGAATGTTGGGAGAATATTAGTTGCAATATTGTAAGATGCCTCTTCGAATGATATATATATCATATATTCATATGTAAGATGCTTTTTGATTGATTTATTGGGTATTGAACTCATGACATAAGGATCCATACTCCTTTACCAAGACAATTCGCGACTAGACTATGACAAATTTGGAAGGATTTTATTACAATTTACAACTAAAATAGACATAAAGTTTGGATTCTTCCCATATTCTTGTTTATGGACTCATTTAGAGATGTTAACTTGGGCATGGAACCTCCATTTAATAATTGAGTATGTATAAGAAAAATAAACTCATTTAAACCCATTTAAGGGAAAATATTCTTGTGTCACACGTAGGATTTCCTTGGCCCATCCCCTTGAGATAAAATATGGAATTCGAAAGGACTTGTCAGTCGAATACGGTGAAGAAATGCCCATGTTTATGAGGAATGGCTTCACATAATTTATCACAAGGGTCGACTGTGTTAAATAAAACAAAAAACATAAACTAATAATATTTTTCCAAATAAAAATATTTATCAAACATCCACTTATTTAAATAAATATTTTGAAAGGACAAATTTTCTTTCTGTTTGCAAGAAAACTTTTGTTAATTCATGGCAGGTTGCATGCACATACATATTTGAAAGTTTCGTTTCGTCAACAATTAAACGAGTAAAAACAATCTACTAATCCTAAACTACTATAATTTATTTTTCTCCTCGAAACTCTTGGCAGTTTCTTACAAATTTAGTTAAGAGAACGTAGCTACGATCTTTTGAGAATAAGAGACCCATAATCAAAACTAAAAACCTTAGGTTTATGTGAATATTTGGTTTAAGTTAATTGATGAAGAAACCTAGCTTTGGACGGTGCATCAAACCACAAGAGGAGAGTTGACTCCTCTTCTTAGTTAGGGTTTGATTACGTTTCCGGTAGAGAGTGAACCAGCGAATGATAGCTTCATCAGGGAAGCGTAAACAAACATAGAGAAATGTCTCGGTGAGGCTTAAGAGTGTTCGGGTTTGGTAAAGCTCCGGTGAAGTAAGGATTGTTCGGAAGCTTTTGGAGACTAAGAGCATCTCCAATAGTGAGAGTCCCTCATGGGCTCTCACCAATTGTTTAAACATATTTTTTTTGAAATTTTTAGAT